AGTTAAAACACGGCTGACGTTAAGGCGCGAAGCAAAACAGAGGAATTATTTACTTGGGTTTGCGTTTCTGGGTTTTCTTTGAGCTGGAAGGGAAGGCAGTAGACCCCAGGGCACTTTTTCTGATGGAGAGGAGACAGCCTTAAGGGACGGGATAATGGAAGAGGAGAGCGTTCCTGCCTAGGTTCTAAGTTCCCTGGAAGCCAGGGACCACCCAACTTCTAGATAAAGCCCTGGGTGAGCCCCTTCTCCAGGTGCCATTGGCCGGTGGGGCATGGTAGAACCAGAGTGTCCATTGCAGACTCACTAGCGTGTTCTCTCTTGGCTGGAGCCCCAACTGTGCTCATCTGGGAACTGTGCCAAACACTTGATTAATTCCCCTATAATTTGAATTAATTGGTCTGGGGAGGTAGGAGCCCATCAATCTATATTTTGAAAAAGTTGCCAAAGTGATTCTGATAGGTCTCTTAACCAGAGAGGGAGCAGGGTTCAATACTACAGTGCAGAGCCCAGGGCAGACAGACCTGGGTTCAGATCCTGGCTGTGCCACAGGCTAGCAATGTGACCTTGGGCAAATTACTTGACTTCTCTGAGCCTTGGTTACTTCTGCAAAAGGAGCTAATATCCATTCTCCTTTTAGGAGGATTGATATTTGTAAACTGCTTTGAACAACCTCTGTACATAAAAACCGATAAAGAAGTCCCAACCAGCGTCCTGCAGAGGTTGTTTGAGGGCGGGGTCTATGGTGCTGCACGAGCCTTTTATGGAGGCCTTTGGCCTTTTTAACTGTGTGATTTGGGGGCAGCTCTCATATCTCTTCAAGCTCCTGCCCTTTAGACTTGGTCCAAGGTCTCCCAGCACCTTCCTTCCCCTGTCCAACCAGCTGAGATGTGAATTGTGGGCTCCACTCGGCCAGAGGTGCAGGTGAGGTGGGACAGGGTAGGTATGGCGCAGGGCCAGGACTTCCTGCCTCAGGAGCCACTCAGAGCTTTCGCTCCAAGAGCCTGCAGATCAGGACCTGTGCCTGGGAAAACCCAGTGCCTGCCAAGGTCGTGCAGCCAGTCAGCCCTGGACTCGGGCCAGAGCGGTGCAGGTAGATGCCAGAGCTCCCTCTCGGGCACACCCGCTCGGTTTCCCATCTCCTGCGAGGAGTTGGGTGGACCTGCCCGCTTTCATTTTCTTTGCCTGCAGAACGAGTTCCTTGGACGCAGGCAAAGGGCAGGAGCTGTGAGGTGTCTAGACTTCAGGTCACCTGATGTGGCTGGCAGGATATGGCTCAGCCTGGGAGAAGGCATCATCCCGCCCCACCCTACCCTGCCCCTCCTCACCCCTAGGCCGCCCGCCTGATGACATCCTTGGGAAAGGCCCTCAGCACAGAGCACCTGTCAGCTGCTGTCTGTGGAGGCAGTGGCTGTGGGGAGCGGTGGGAGGAGGCCGGCCAGTGCTGGAGGCAGAGCAGTAGCACTCCGTGTGTGTTCCAGCACTTCTGTGTACCAGGCGCCACTCTGAGCCGTCATCTACGTCAGCTCAGGCGACCTTCGCAGCTGTCCTCTGAGGTGGCGACTAGTACTGTCCCCACTTTATGGGTGAGGAAAACACAGCCTGGAGAAGTCACCCCGTGGACCCTGAATGCTAACCCAGGTGGTGTGCCCCGAGCCGTGCCTCTTGCTCACCAAACAGCCTCTCAGCTCTGTCCCATCTGCCTCGCCCGGGTGGATGCCCAGCCGACTGCTTGAGCCATGGCCTTTAAACGTTCACATAATCCTCTTTCTGGATGAGGAAACTGAGGCTAAGGGACATGAGCAGCTTTTGAAAGTACAGGTAGCGGGGCTGGCAGGCGGGGTGGTGGTTGAGGCACTGGCCGACCACGTTTCAAATCCCGAACCTGCTGGCTTACTTTCTCACTTTCCTTTTCTCTCTCTCTCTGGTCAAATTAGAAAATAATAAAAAACAAATAAAATAAATAAAATAATTCTTTAAGAAAGTCTAAGTAGCAAGTGGCAGAGATTGGACTACAAACCAGGTATTTATTTATTTGCTAGGTTTTTGCCATAGGGCATGTGCACTTGCCAGAGAGAGACAGAGAAAGGGCAAGTTAGAAACCAGCCTCCTCTGGTGGGGATGGCCACGCTGCAATCGCTCCTCCTTTCTCCTTTGGGGATTGTGGTGTCTGCGCCCAATGTGATGTTCAAGTACCGGGTCCTGACTCAGACTGTGTTTGGGCATGAGGGAGTCCAGTGCCTTAACCACTGTGCCACTTGCTGGTCCCAACCTGGGTGTTTCTTTTATCCCAAAGCCTAGCTGTACTTCTAATTTGCAGAGCAAGCTGGTCCCATTTGGGCATCTGGGTTGGAGCAGATTCAGGAACCCGGAGTTGTTGTAGGCCTGAGCTGTGCATTTGGGATTGACCTCCGGGCCAGGGCCGGGATTAGGAAACTGCTGGACTTGCAATTCACACGTACTGGGGCATTCACACCCATGCCGGACACCTCAGGGGGGAAAACATTGATTTTAACTGATAATACCTGGTGGTAAACAGGACCCTGATCCCTGCTGTTGCAATAAAGCTTGCCTTTGTTGACATAAACTTGCCCTTCAGCTGCCCACTCCCCCAGAGACCTTGGGGTGGGAGACCGGCTGAGCTCTGCCCCCACCCAGTGTCTGCCATCTGCCGGTGCCAGGATGGGGCCCTATGGAAAGGGGACAGTGGAAAGCGAGCTGTAGGAAGACTTAGCTGAAGTGGCCAAGCCGAGCCTGGCCAGTTTCCCAAGTGACCAGAGGCTTCCTCTGTCTCAGCCGCAGGTGCCATGTCGGAGCCGGCGAGGGGTGCCCGCCAAGTCCCATGCAGCCGCAGGGTGTGGCCGCAGGGTGTGCCGCCGCCTTTTCGGGCCCGTGGACAGCGAGCAGCTGCGCCGAGACTGCGACGAGCTGATGGCGGGCTGTGTCCAGGAGGCCCGGGAGCGGTGGAACTTCGACTTCGTCACGGAGACGCCGCTGGAGGGTGACTTCGCCTGGGAGCGCGTGCGGGGCCTCGGCCTGCCTAAGGTCTACTTGCCCGCAGGGTCCCGGGACAGCCAAGATGACCTGGGAGGGGGCAAGTGGCCCAGCACCTCGTCTGCCCTGCCGCAGGCCACAGCCCAGGATGACCACGTGGACCTGCTGCTGTCCTGCACCCTCGTGCCTTGCTCCTCTGAGCGGCGAGAGGAATCCCTGGGGGGGCCTGGAGCCTCCCAGGGCCGGAAACGGCGGCAGACCAGCATGACAGGTGAGGACGGTGTGGGAGGACACTGGTGGGGATTGGCTGCTGGCTCAGGGCAGACCCGTGGATGCTCACCTCTGCGACGTGGTAGGGTGCTCTGTAAATGCCCCCTGGGAGGGAGTGGCCGCCCCCCCAGGTCTCGGTCCTCCACCCTCGGGTCCTGTGGGGTGTGCCCCATCCCCTTCCGTTGCAGCCTCCTGTGCCCTCGCCCTCCCGGCCTGGCTCACCTCTGTGCTCTCTCCCCAGACTACTACCACTCCAAACGCAGGAGGATCTTCTCCAAGAGGACGCCCTAGTCTGCTTCCTGCTCCGGCAACCGGCCGCCTGGCTCCTCCCTCCTCTTCTGCCTTGGTCCCTCAGTTCCTGCGTGTGTCTTAATTATTATTTGTGTTTTAATTTAAACTCCTCATGTACATACCCTGCCCACCCAACCCCCCCAGCCTCTGGCATTAAGATTATTTAAAGAAAAATAGGCAGTAGAACAGTAGGCTGGTCAGAGTGCTGGGTATTTTTATTATATGAAATATTATTTAAAACCTTCTCATCCTATGAGGTCAGTTCTGGGTCTCCTGGAGGCAAGGCGGGACAGGCTTCATGCCAGCTACTTCCTCCTCCACCCTCACCTACGGGGTGGGGCCCTCAGAGGGCTCCAGCTCCCTCTCTCACAATCTCATAGGAATTACAAAATTCCACCCATGTGCTGGGTTCTCTGACCTGAACTCCTTATCATTTGAAAAGGAAACGGATAGCACTTTGTGGGGGCCCCAGCAGAGGGGGAACATGACTGCAAACTTCGGAGTCCCCTGACCTCTAAGACTGGGCAGGCTGACCTTGAAGTGGGCACAGCCTAGGACAGAGCTGGGGACCTGTACCCTCTTGGCTTTTGACACCCCACTGTGCCCTGTGAAGGCAGGGGGGAGGTAGGGTCTGGTAGCAAAGCATCCCCATGTCCTTCACACCCTCTGTGCCACCCAGTGGCTCCCCAGGCCCTGCTCTGCAGCCCAGCTGCCCCTCTTGTCCAGCTGAGCCCTCGAGTCCCCCTCTGCTACTTTCCCTTCCCCCATGTCCTTTCCCTCTAGAACCCTCTCAGCCCTGGGTGGTGGCCCGGGGGTCCCTCTCCACCCCCCACCAAATGGACTGGAAGGGGAAGGGACACACAAGAAGTAGGGCTCCCTAGTTCTACCTCAGGTAGCTTAAGAAGCAACCGCCTCCTCCTCTTAGCTCGGGGTGGAGGTCCTGGGTGGTCAGACCGGCCTCCTTGGTGGGGTTCTCTCTGTGAGGGGTGTGTGGTTGGGGGAGCGGAGCTTTCTAGGACAGAGACACCAGCCCCTGGGTATCACCCAGTAGTCCTCCCCACCTGCCCCTTCCCTCCCATCTCATTGCACTTTGAGTAGCAGCCGAACCAAGAGTCCGGTGTTTGAAGACAGTAGTCGAGGCAGGGGCTAGGGCACGGTGAGTGGGCTGCGGTGGGACCCGGAGTAGGGGTGCTATTTTCTGGCACTGAATACCGAGCCCCTGGGAGCACCAATGCACTCGGTGGGTGTAACCCAGCTGCTTTCCTGCTCCTGTGACATCCTGCCCTGGACTGTTCTCTCTTGGCCCCCTGTGTGTCCTGGTTCCCCTCTTCCCACCTGGAGACTGTAAGCCTCTCAAGGGCAGGGACCATGCCCTGGGTTGCTCTGTCCTTCAAAGCTCCTCCTACAGAGCTGAGTATACAGCAGGTGCTCAATAAATACGTCTCAGTGACTTCACTTTTAATATTTCTTTTGTTGTCATTATACCTTGTTGTTTACAAGGACGAATGGAGGCACTTTTGTCATAATTTTAAAAATTCAGCATTTAAGTATAAAAAAATGCAGTCCGGTTAGTGAACAAAAAGACCATGTAACGGGACCAGCAGTTAGCGTAACGGCTATGTCGCTGGACTCCCACGTAGTCGACCGTGGTTCGATTCCCGGACCCGGTGGCTTAAACTCACGCTGGGCGCATGTGCGTGTGTGCCCAAGATCCCGAGAGAATGGAGAAGGGATTGTGGCGTGGCCATCCCCTCTGGGGGGTGATTTCTCGCTTTCTATCTCTGTCTGTCTCTGTCTGGCGAGCACACGCACCCTATAGCAAAA